TAAAACCAGAAGAGAGCAGAACGTGTAGTGCATGAGCTCTTTTAAAGGTTAGACATAAATGCACTTGACAAACAAAAGCTAAGTCTTTCGAGTTGATTGTGCTGGGTTTTTAATCCCTCTTTCGCATTGACCTGGATTTGCTCTTTCCAGACTTACTTTAGAAAGATGAAACTGTTGGAAATGCCCAGCAAAAAGTCTCGGGTGCGGAGCAGATTTGAAGATACGCAGCTTTAACTCTTTGTCAGACTAAACCAAACACACTCTGTGCCTTTTTGCTCTCAAAGGAGCCTTTTCAGTTGAGGATGAGGCTTTAATCAGTTCATGTCACTGCAGCTCACTCTTTGCTTATTGCTTCCTGCAGGTACTCAGCGTGCCAATGCCCGTGCTCCAGCTCCTTACAAAAGAGATTTTGAAGCCAAGCTGAGGAACTTTTACAGGAAGTTGGAGACTAAAGGATATGGACAAGGCCCAGGGAAATTGAAGTATGTTGAAGATTCTCATGAAACCACATTTTTCTCTCGGGCAGCTCGCCTTGCCTTGCTTCTCTACAGGCTTCTTCCCGCTGGAAGGAATGCAGATGTTACGGTTTCCCTTGCACTTCGGGAAATACAAGGCCTGTCGTAAAACACTCAGTGCCAGCATGTGATTCGTAGCAGAGGCTACAGCGATTTCTGAGCACTTCTTTTCTGGGGTTCCTCCAACTACATTTTCATACAAACAGTATCACCGGTGCAGTGCCAAAAAGCACTTTGGGAAGAGGCACACAGAACAGGAGGCATCTGAATTCTTCCATTATAGCAGTTGCTATGAGATAAACAGTTACATTCTCTGATGCCTTTTTCCACTGAAAAAACCTAGATAGGCATCTTTTGTACTCTCTGGCCTCTGTTGATATCACAGTCCTCTTTTCCTAACGAGGACTCATAAAATTAAATGCTACTAAATTGTAAGGATTGCCTTAAAGAACCTGCTAATATTTATACTTAAGCACTCCGAATGCTAGAGAGCTCAGAGTGAGGTCTTTCTGTTGCCGAAAGCAGCAACTGCAAAGAAACAACATTCCCTCTGTTTGGTAATTGTGTGATTACATACTGTTACGTTAAGGATCATCATCGTGAGATAATTCCATAATTTTGTAAATTACCAAGTCACATGGCAGCTGTCAAACTCTCATAGTTTGGTACTTTCCTAGTGGCCATGTGACACTAGAACTTTTCTTTTAACCATTTCTTCTATTATAATAGGGGGAGAGTTGTTTTATTTCCCCCAGCCAGTCACATCTCCCGTTTCACAAGAATTTTTGCAGAGCTCACACTGCAGTTGTGTCATCTGGTTAAAAGTTTTCCATGACTGAAATGGCGTTAAGATGCTATTGCTTAGGCAGTCTGAAGAGATGGATGTTGGACATTGCCTAAATTGTAGTGAAATCATAAACACATAAAGCTTCACCTGTGAAAGGTTTGTCATGGATGCAGCAGCAGCGCTCCCAGCCTTGATTTGACGGAGCGCACGAGTAAGGCAGCATTTGGGTATTAAGCACCCAAAGTTGCAGGAAGCTAATTAAGCGTAGTGTTTTGGCAGAAGATAAAATGTTTATGTAAGAAGGATTCTTTCAATTCTTATTTTAGACCTTTATAACACTTGCCTCGCTTTCACAATTTTTCATTTAGAAGTTACCTTGTGTTTTCACATGTTCTGGTTTCGGACAAGCAATTGCTCGTTGTTCTAGACCTTTTTGCCCCATCCCCACAGAAGGGACAACGTAGAGATGTGTGATTCTGGAGTCAGAACTCAGTGACTTGCCTTTGGTTTTATCTTCTTCCTTGTGAAGAGATTGATTTTTACAGTAAAGGTTAGATTCTTGCTTATAGTAAGAGTAATTTAGTGGCCCAGCCTTACAGAAGGCTTTTAAACCCACTGAAGCCTTTAATTTAAGGAAGAATCAGGGTAGAAAAAACAAAACTGCATGTCTTTGTACAGGAGACATTTTAGTGACATCTCAGATGCTTGAGGGAGATAGACTAACAGATCAGGTAATCCAGCAGAAACATGTATCTCTGTGGAGTCACCCTTTCACCTTGCAGTGTAAGTTGATGTTTCCAGCTGTGGTTCGTGTTCACGAATTGCCATTTCAAAATTGTTTTGCTCTTCAGATTAATCATCAGGAGAGACCACTTGCTAGAAGATGCCTTTAACCAGATCATGGGCTATTCAAGAAAAGACCTGCAGAGAAATAAACTCTACGTCACGTTTGTTGGGGAGGAAGGGTGAGTACAACAGGGAAGTAAATGTGATCTCAGAACTCAGTGTGTCTTGGCAGCTGCTGTTTCACCAAACTTCTTGTGGTCCAGAGTGAAAAGAGGAAGGATTATGGTCAGGAAATGCCACATAGATAAGCCTAGAACATACAGCTGTTTGAGATGCCTTTTAAGGCATTGTGAAATGTAACGCATCCTGCCTTGCCGAAGCGGTGCCTGTGTTTATGTGAATTTTCACCGTAGTCGTCGTGTGTTTCAGAATGTTGGTGGGAAAGCAGAAAAAGAAGCCAACTAACAACTTTCTGATGTTATTCATGTTTCTTTTCTGTCAGTGCTGACACTGTATCACCAGTGCTTGTTAAAAGGCAGCTGCCGTTGGCTGGAGGGGGGTGCTTCTGGGCTGGAGGCTCAATCCTGAACGCGAGTCCTGTTTGGGGCTGGGGAGATGAGAGCCCTCAGTGCTGCAGGAGGGGCTCACGGCCTCTCCAGACCGGAGCCTGACTCGCAGATAAGAACTGGGCTGTTGCTCAATGTCCCTGAGGTTCAAGAGTCGCTTCAGAGCACACTCGGCCTGTGTCTGATGAAAGCCTTAACGTGCAGCAGGTTGCGAGATGTGCGTTGCGAAGGAGGATGTGGTTAGATTTCTCTCTGCAAGTGAAACTGGAGCAGCGCGCTTTTTGCCCCTTCCGTCTCTTGATTCGTGCACCCTTTGTCAGATCTTAAAGGCTGCCTTAGGCGCAGATATCTTTATCGGTGTATCTTGTCAGTGTACATGTAAATACATTCATATTTTATTCCTTGATATTTAGGGAGCTGCAGCACGCAGCGTTTGGAACGCGGCAGCATTAATTATTGCCATGCGCGACCTGTGCACCTTTACAATAGCTGAGTTGTAATAGAAACATCTCGTACGAGATGAGATAAAAATAATCTGTCTTTGAAAACCCCTGGATCGCGTTGTTTGTTTAAAGTTCACCCTGAAGTGCTTTGTGTTAATGAGGACTCACCGCAGTCTTAGAAAACGTTGACAGCTGAGAGCCAGGTGTGGACTTGTTCGTCTGAATCCCATCAGCGCCCTGTCTGGGGGCAGGCTCGGAGCTGGAACGACAAGGCTGGGGCAGGGTGAGGTTGGACCGTATTGACAGAGCAGGGTGGGGGTGCAGGAGCCAGGCCTGCCTTCCACAGCCTTTACTTTCACAGCTACAACCTCAACCCAGATTTAAAAACGAAAGGGAAAATTTGACAATCACGCGTGAGAGGGAGTTCGATCTAGATAGATGGTTTCCTTCCATCGGGTGTCGGAATGTTTAATCACTCAGTATGGCAAGATGAAGAGTGACCTGGAAATGGGGGTGACACATCCGTGTCCCCATTATATCCAGCTTTGCACAAGGCTCTTTTCTCAATGGGAAAGAATGAGTTCATTAAGAAGGAAGTCAAATTAAAATGACATCAGTTCTCTATTTACAAATCTGTGTTTTGAATGAAGGAAAGATGTGTGCAAACAGTCTTGTTTCATCAGAGATGGTGCAAGGATCTGTATCCCGTCCAACTATTCGTTTGGCTAGGTGTGGAAAGACAGGTCAGGGTGGAGGAGAGAAGGAGGAATACTGAAAGTTGATTGTTTCCTATTTGCTCCTCCTCTTCCTTTTTTCAAGTTTTTGAGTGGCAATTTGCTCTTGCATTTCTTTTCCTCTCGGTAAAGGAGGCACAAGTCTTAAAGGAATGGTTCCTGAAATCCTCGCAGATTAGAACACTGGATTTACTGCTCTGTAACTTGGTAAGCAGGGCAACTCGGATGTGGTTATTGCTGTTCACGGAAACCGGAAGTCTCATCATGTTTGGTGTCTTCCTGGAACCTTCAGTTTCTATGCTCACGCAATTGTGATGCTAGTTTAATGTTTTTACAGTCATACTTTGTGTGGTGGTGATGAAGAAAGTTTTCATATGCAGCTGCTTGTTCTCCCTGAGTTCTATTAACTGTTTGGAGAAGATGCTTTGCATTTTGGGTGATGTGGTTTAGGGGTGAGCTTGTAGCGTAGGGTCAGTGGTTGGACTCGATGATCCCAAGGGTCTTTTCCAACCTGAATTGTTCTAGGATTCTGTGTAGGAGTGCTCTATCTGAAGTATTAACGGTGCTGCCTAGGAGACATGAGTCGTGTTGCCAACAACATCTGGCTCTCCTCCTGAATACCCAGATGCCCCACGGTTGCAGCTGTTGTGTGGCTGCATACCTCTCGTATGAAGTTTTCTCACCCTTGTGCCAAACCTTTAATTGTGGGATAAATCTGACTGGCAGTGCAGGCCTGGCGATTGATTTATTTAACGTGACTCAGAGTAACTCTGCGGACAAAAGGAGCTGTATGAAATGGCTGCCAGTCAAGCACACAGTTTTTATTTTGCCTTAAGATTTTATAGGGAGGCTGATTATCCCAGAAGTTTGCAAGAGTCTTCCAGGTGACCCTTTCCTTGATCCTGGCATTTGTGCCAAGATTAAGATCCAACAGTTGTCCGTGATATCAAACCCTTTTGGGGGTATTTTTCTGCAGTTTGAGCATGGAATCTGCCCTTCTTGCCAGGGTAAGGATCTGTTTCAGTGCTTCACTTCTGAAGCTTAACCGAAGCAAAATGCTTCCAAGTGACTAAAGGGAAAATGTTTCTCATTTAACAGAGGAAGGAGGCTTTGTCCTCAAGTTGATAATGATACTTGGCCTTTGCTTTTCTGACAATTTCATGCTCAAAAACAACCGTCATCTGTGTTTGTCTTCTGTATAAGTTCATGAGCCCAAACATTGGTGGCAGAAGTCTTGTGTGAAAGCTATGTGAGAGTTCTCTGCGATACTTCTGTCTGTGTGTTGTCTTAGTACTAAAGCAAGACCTTCTTAAAAGTCAAGTATGAAATCTGTAGCTATAGAAGATACATTTTTATCTATTTCTTAAGATTATAATAATCTCTTTCCCCCACAGGAAAATCCCCACTTTGCTGTTTTCCAGCTCTGCCGGAGCATTAACTTCGTACTTAACTCATGTCACTGGTGACCTGAAGCCTAATGTCAAAATTCAGTCTCAGTGCTTTGTCAGCAATGAGTTTGTTTACGACTCAGAAGAAGGGGTTATTTAGATTCCTTGTTCATTAGTACTGGAATCTCAAAATAGCAAAAAAAACAAAACCCCAAAAAACCCCAACCAAAGGAAATGCATTCTCCAAAAGACACATAAATGCACTCGAGTTTGGAAGACAGACAAGAAAATTTAGACCAAGAAAGATAAATCACTGAAGCAATCTCAGATTATATTGCCGGGGAAAACAGAAACATTATCCTTCGACTTGTCCTGCTGTTGCAAGTCTACGAAGACAAACATACGACTATTGTTCTTTTTCATTATTAATTTGTCAGATGCGGATATGTCTAGCACTGACTCTTTTCATATTTCCTCCTGCCTCCACCCCCGGTTCTTTGATTATATTCCTGTGGCAAAGAGGCTGTTTACAGCTGGAGCCAAAATTTTTGCTGAGAGCAGCCCGCACAGAGAACTTCATTCCAGCCCTCCAAGCCCTTCCATCTCAGAATAGGCCCGCGAGAACTGCACATACCTTGGCATTAAGCAATCTGCAGGATAAGGGTTCTGGTTAAAAATCTTACGAAATTTTCATTAAAATATAGTATAAGGAATGTAGTTTGTAAAAAAAAAAAA